AGAATGCCTCCTGCCCTCAACTCACCCAGTGCAAAGGAGACTGCGACAGAACTCCAAACAGAGCTCAGATGTGAGGAGAAGGGAGAGGGATGGAGAGTTCCTGTCGATTTTCCCGGGCCCTTTCTTTTCTGCTCCTCCAAGCCTTCTGAGCAGTCCTGTTAGGTCTGAAGGACCATGCTTTCTGAAGGGCAAAGCATGTAGATCCTGGCACACAGGAAAGCAGACTGGACTATCCGAGGCTATGGATGGAGGGATCCAGCATGAGAGGTTTCCCCCCTACAGTCCAGACTCCAGAGCAATCCCATTAGCTGTGGGTCTAATACCAAAACCGAGACGAGTAAGATTCCTATACAGAGAGGTGCTAGAAAGCCATAAAACACTGAAATGTTTCTGTTAGACACACAGGATCATTGGCTTTTTTTAAAAAAAAGTATTGATCTTTATTCCTATTTTTCTTGATGTATTTCCTATTACTGAATGTATGAGAACAGCAGTGCGCTTGAGCAGGTAAGGGCAGACTCTGCAAGGGGCTGTGGAAACCAGCTCACCCTGACACTATAGCTGTGACCTCAGCCTCCTTCACTGTTACCTGCAGGAAGCCATCTTCTATCAGCTTTCCATCAGTAACACAGACTCTTGAACAAAATCTCCAGATTTACAGCCCACATTTTCAAATGCTAATGGGACAAACTAAATACATTTGCAGTCCAGATGTGGCCTGCTTTCCTGTTCTGAATGCTGCTGCCTGGTCCGGCCAAGGCAGCTGATGTGATTCTTCAATGCATTTTAAAGCAAACCCCTGCATTCTCACAGAGCCGTCCACACAGCCAGGGTCTGCAGGCTATATTCGTGTTCTGCTGGTCCTCACTGCCTACTCACTAGCTTTCAAACTCTAGACATCCTTTAGTGTCACACTCAGAGTCCATTTGTTTATGAGCCTTATGCCCTTGGTCCCATCCCTATTCTTCAAGGAAGAGCTGGATATGTCTTTCAACTTCTAGAACACCAGTTGCTGAGGGTAGGTTCAAAGCAGTTCTTAACAGACAGAGTCAAACCAGAGTAGAATAGGTTCAATGGACTCTGTGCCTCCTCAAAGACAAAACACCGAGAATGACTCTGTGTCCCCTATAGAGGTGTACATACTGAACACTTAGAAACTGTGTCCCCATGAAGGTGTGCACACTGAACTGTTAGAATGACTGTGTCCCTGTGGGAGTGTGCACACTGAACTGTTAGAATGACTGTGTCCACATGGAGGTGTGCACACTGAACTGTTAGAATGACTGTGTCCCTGTGAAGGTGTGCACACTGAACTGTTAGAATGACTGTGTCCCTGTGGAGGTGTGCACACTGAACTATTAGAATGACTGTGTCCCTGTGGAGGTGTGCACACTGAACTGTTAGAATGACTGTGTCCCTGTGGAGGTGTGCACACTGAACTATTAGAATGACCGTGTCCCTGTGGAGGTGTGCACACTGAACTGTTAGAATGACTGTGTCCCTGTGAAGGTGTGCACACTGAACTATTAGAATGACCGTGTCCCTGTGGAGGTGTGCACACTGAACTGTTAGAATGACCGTGTCCCTGTGGAGGTGTGCACACTGAACTGTTAGAATGACCGTGTCCCCATGGAGGTGTGCACACTGAACTGTTAGAATGACTGTGTCCACATGGAGGTGTGCACACTGAACTATTAGAATGACTGTGTCCCTGTGGAGGTGTGCACACTGAACTGTTAGAATGACTGTGTCCCTGTGGAGGTGTGCACACTGAACTGTTAGAATGACTGTGTCCACATGGAGGTGTGCACACTGAACTGTTAGAAGGACCGTGTCCCTGTGGAGGTGTGCACACTGAACTGTTAGAATGACTGTGTCCCTGTGGAGGTGTGCACACTGAACTGTTAGAATGACTGTGTCCACATGGAGGTGTGCACACTGAACTGTTAGAAGGACCGTGTCCCTGTGGAGGTGTGCACACTGAACTGTTAGAATGACTGTGTCCCTGTGGAGGTGTGCACACTGAACTATTAGAATGACTGTGTCCCTGTGGAGGTGTGCACACTGAACTGTTAGAATGATTGGGTCCCTGTGGAGGTGTGCACACTGAACTATTAGAATGACCGTGTCCCTGTGGAGGTGTGCACACTGAACTGTTAGAATGATTGGGTCCCTGTGGAGGTGTGCACACTGAACTGTTAGAATGATTGTGTCCACATGGAGGTGTGCACACTGAACTGTTAGAATGACCGTGTCCCTGTGGAGGTGTGCACACTAAACTGTTAGAATGACTGTGTCCACATGAAGGTGTGTACACTGAACTGTTAGAATGACCGTGTCCCTGTGGAGGTGTGCACACTGAACTGTTAGAATGACTGTGTCCCTGTGGAGGTGTGCACACTGAACTATTAGAATGACTGGGTCCCTGTGGAGGTGTGCACACTGAACTGTTAGAATGATTGTGTCCACATGGAGGTGTGCACACTGAACTGTTAGAATGACTGTGTCCCTGTGGAGGTGTGCACACTGAACTGTTAGAATGACCGTGTCCCTGTGGAGGTGTGCACACTGAACTATTAGAATGACTGTGTCCCTGTGGAGGTGTGCACACTGAACTGTTAGAATGACTGTGTCCCTGTGGAGGTGTGCACACTGAACTGTTAGAATGACTGTGTCCCTGTGGAGGTGTGCACACTGAACTGTTAGAATGATTGTGTCCACATGGAGGTGTGCACACTGAACTATTAGAATGACCGTGTCCCTGTGGAGGTGTGCACACTGAACTGTTAGAATGACTGTGTCCCTGTGGAGGTGTGCACACTGAACTGTTAGAATGATTGTGTCCCTGTGGAGGTGTGCACACTGAACTGTTAGAATGACTGTGTCCCTGTGGAGGTGTGCACACTGAACTATTAGAATGACTGTGTCCCTGTGGAGGTGTGCACACTGAACTGTTAGAATGATTAGGTCCCTGTGGAGGTGTGCACACTGAACTGTTAGAATGACTGTGTCCCTGTGGAGGTGTGCACACTGAACTGTTAGAATGATTGTGTCCACATGGAGGTGTGCACACTGAACTATTAGAATGACCGTGTCCCTGTGGAGGTGTGCACACTGAACTGTTAGAATGACTGTGTCCCTGTGGAGGTGTGCACACTGAACTGTTAGAATGACTGTGTCCCTGTGGAGGTGTGCACACTGAACTGTTAGAATGACTGTGTCCCTGTGGAGGTGTGCACACTGAACTGTTAGAATGATTGTGTCCACATGGAGGTGTGCACACTGAACTGTTAGAATGACCGTGTCCCTGTGGAGGTGTGCACACTGAACTATTAGAATGACTGTGTCCCTGTGGAGGTGTGCACACTGAACTGTTAGAATGACTGTGTCCCTGTGGAGGTGTGCACACTGAACTGTTAGAATGACTGTGTCCCTGTGGAGGTGTGCACACTGAACTGTTAGAATGATTGTGTCCACATGGAGGTGTGCACACTGAACTATTAGAATGACCGTGTCCCTGTGGAGGTGTGCACACTGAACTGTTAGAATGACTGTGTCCCTGTGGAGGTGTGCACACTGAACTGTTAGAATGACTGTGTCCCTGTGGAGGTGTGCACACTGAACTGTTAGAATGACTGTGTCCACATGGAGGTGTGCACACTGAACTGTTAGAATGACTGTGTCCCTGTGGAGGTGTGCACACTGAACTATTAGAATGACTGTGTCCCTGTGGAGGTGTGCACACTGAACTATTAGAATGACCGTGTCCCCATGAAGGTGTGCACACTGAACTATTAGAATGACTGTGTCCCGAACTATTAGAATGATTATGCCCTTGTGGAGGTGTGTACACTGATTATTTAGAACTACTGAACATTTTCTTCATAATCCTCAGAAGGAATTCCATGGGGAAAAATCATTAAATGGGCCAACAGCAGTCTCACATGATTCAAGTTTTGTTTTTTAAAGAATTCTAAACCAACCACAAATTATCTGTGGGGGGAAAGGCTATTAAAAAATGCAGCATTATAAACAAATTCGATTCTTAAATTCCTGTGCTTAAGAAAACTCAAAATTCAACAAATTTGATCCAAATTGCCCAGGTATTTAGATGAAAATGTGTCAGGAGCTGTTTTTAGGGTGAATCTGGGTTTCCTGGTGACTTGTTTTTTAAGAAGCCTGCCTAGGTCTTTTAGAAACAAGCAGAGGATGAACCCCAGTCACTGAATGCTAGTTAATGGGCCAACACAATCATATGACACAAAAACTGTGGTAATATTGGGTGATTCCAACCAGACACAACTGCCGTGTCTGTCACGTGAATATTTCAGCAAAACCCACTTTGGTCTATGCATCTCGCAGTGTAACTTAGAGAGGGCTTCTGGGAGTCTGCCATCGGCATGTCACCACTTGACCAGACACTTCCGTCCACTCTTGATAAGTGTCCTAAGTCCTCACTCCACCACCATCAGTGTCAGATCCCACTTTAGGCATCTGCATACTCACCCACACCTGCATACCACACATCTGCCCTACACCAGGGACATAAGCAGGCCTTGCCAAGCATCCAGAAGAGGGGTGTGGAGTATGGGTGGGGCTGCCAGAATAGGCATGCTTCTTGGATTGGAAAGGCATTTGAGAAATGGTAGTGTGAGTGGAAAAAAAGTCAATTCAAGTTTTCTTCTGAAATCTATCTTTTGGCCCCTCCCCGCAAAGTGATCTTCTCCATCTTTAGAGATACAGGAATCTCACATTCAAGTATACTGTGTGTGTCTATGAATATTTGCAAATCCTTAACCATGTCCTGTGTCCACAGCGTGTTGAGGCTAAACTCAAGGAGGAATATAAAGGATCATCAATATCACCATCCTCAGAGTCCCCACAGTCACCACAGTCGCTACAGACACCATCGTCATCATCCAGTATCCTGTCAGAAGACTTCCACTACATGGAAGAGAGCTAAGGGGAGCCAGCAGTGACCGCCATTCACGAACACCACATAGAGTTCAGTTGCTGTAGTTTGATTGTAGCAGTGTTCAGTGAAAAGTACATTTTGCTATTCATCTTTAAACATCTTCAAATCAATAAATCTTAGTCATACTTTAAAGATTTATCCTTGGCAAACCTTGGCTCTGATTCATGAAAAATACACTTATGAGAGAAAAGTAGTCATTAAGAAGCATAGCTTTCACCATTTTTTGGAAATGCATCTTGATAATAGCAACCGTCCATCATAACAGAACAGAAAAGACTGATTTGCTGTGGCACAGAAAGTCTGGCCAGCTCTAAATGCCCGAGATAGTTTCTCTGAGATGGTTTACATTGTTTAGGCCTCAAGGAAAACCAAGGCCCCGCCTCCAGGTTTGGTGGCGAACAAGCTGTGCTTCTCCAGAGCCAAGCTGCGACTGTTCCTCCGGTAATAAGCTTCGTAGACATTTGTGAGGAAGCTGGACAGCATGTCAGCAGGCACTAGGGACACTGTGCAGCCTCCCCATCCTGCTCCAGTAAGTCGTGAACCTTTGGCCCCAAACTTCCTAAAATGATGAGAAGAAAAACAAAGACACATTACCCCCTATAAACAAAAGCAAGAGTAATTTTTACAGAACACATCCCCTTCTCAGGTTCCATGAAGAGAGTATGGGGGGATTCAGGGATTTCAAGCTTTAAGAAATATATACTGGGAACTGGGAAGATGGCTCAGCAGGCAAAGTGTTCACCACTCAAGCAGACACATAAAAGGTGGACACTATAGCCCACATCTGCAACCCCAGCATGCAGAATTGGCTAGAAAAGGTATAGGCAGGCAGGTCCTTGAAGCTCAGCAGACAGCCAGTCTATGAATTATGAGCTCTATGTTCAGGAGAGCCTCTCTCAAAAAATAAGGTGGCAAAATATAATTTTAAAAACATGTAAGGTGGAGAGCTATGGATGAAGTCAATCTTTGGCCTCTACACACACATACACATACATGAATGTGCATTCACATACATGTGTAGACAACATACACACACACAACGAGAAATCTAAATTGAATATAATTTACAAATTTTTTTCAGTTCTCAGGACTGAGAAACTTTTTAGGGCTATCTGAGGCTACTCCTTGGTATTGAAGGTAAATAATAACTATCAACAGTGCTTACTGTCCAGGTCTGGAACCACCACTGTAGGCTCGATCCCACATAGCCGTATAGTAGCTGCTTAAAAACTTGTGTAGCAAGTCTCCAGTTAATCAGGAAGGAAGGTTAAAAAGAAGGTGGGCAGTAGAAATGAGTGCCATGAGGAATCAGTCACCTCAAAAGAGGGTAAATCAAAATCAGTATGTACAACATAATACTCTCCATAACTGTTTCAGCTGCACTCTGTTTTGTTGTTGAGATAGGGGAGGTATGCATGTGTAAATGTTCCTGTATGTGCACATGTACAGGCATACAAGCACCTGTGGAGGCCAAAGGTCAACATCTAGTACCTCCCTCCATTGTTCTCCACTTTATTTTTGAAGCTAGGGTCTCTCACTGAACCTGAAGTCCATTGATTCTGCAAGGCTGGCTGGTCAGCAAGCCCCAGAGACCCTTCTGCCTCTACTTCCACAAGGCTAAGATTGCAGGGGTCCCTACCTATAACTGCTTTCTTATGTGAGTGATGAGAAGCCCAGCCCAGCTCCTCATGCGTGCACAGCAAGCCCTTGACTAACAGCCATCTCCAGCTCTCAGTTGTGTTCGTAAGACTTCTTCATTTCACATACCGAGTTCAGACTGTAGGGCTGCGGGCTGGGCATGCAGCTCAGTGGTAGAAGGCTTGCCTAACATGAATGAGATCTGTATTCAACACCCAGTACCACAGTGTGGGGGGCTGTTCCCCCAGAACTGACAGCCTAGGTTTATTCTGCATAAATTTGTTAGCATAGAACCTGATAGTAAACTCTAGGTTGGCTGCTTGTTTGGTTGGTTTGATTGATGACTAATGGAAAATTTTGCAAACCTTTCCATAAAGTGGATGGTGGTCCTCGAGGTGCATACTGCCTTCCCTGCACTTTCTGGGACTGAGCTAACAAGTGGATCCAACTTTGCCAACAGATGAGATGCTCACTAAGAGGGAACAACTCTATAAACCACCATGTAGCCAGAAATTGCTGGAGTCACCATCCAAGCATATTTCCAATTGATTTTTTTCCTAATGAAATTCACTCCAAATTAGTAATAGATTTAAAACCTCATAATTTAGCCCAATTCTGTGCCCCTTTCCCCTCTACTTCCTGGAAAACATCAACAGAATAACTAGAACACTCCCCACCTCCAGGAAATCAGGGTTACTACACGTCAGCCTCTCCCTTTTCCCTCAGTGATGCTCTCTGGTGATTGCATCATCTGTTTTATTCAAATATGTTTTTCTTAAATGTGAAGAAAGTGCTACCAACCATAAAAGATTACCAATCTTCTAAGAGCCCTCAAATAGCAGTCTAGGCCTAGCTGACTTAGGCCCAAACTGCTATCATGCGGGCTGAAAAGTCGCTTCAGTCGTGAGAATCTAGAAGCTAGAAAAGGCTTGTTTGTAGTTTTTTTTTTATTTAAAGGAGAAACTTTGCCATAGTGGCTGAATCAAACACTATCATTGCTGAAGAAGCTGGGAGAAAAGGGAGACTCCTTGAAGCATCTCAGAAAGATCCTTAAAGGCAACCACAGCCTGGTCTAGATGGCAGTGTGCCCACCTGATGCTCTATGAGTACAATTTACCAGGTCTTTAACTGCCTTCCATGGGCCTTTTGGGCATATTTTCATACACTTCTGTTTTGAACAGTTTGAACAGAATGGTGCTGCACACATGGGAGGCAGATGGTTACAGAAAGTTTGAGTCTAACCTGTTTCAGGACAGGAATACATAGTGAGAGTCTGTCTCAAAACATTAAAACAGAAAAAAAAAAAAGATATGATTTCAAAACAGTGTTGTTTCTGATCTAGCTGCAAGAGATCCATTTTTCCAAACCATCTGCCAGTTCACACTGAGCTAAGAGGTTAAGAAGAGACCTCTAGGCAAATTAATTTGCTTCTGAATGTTCAAACTGCTCTGTGGCCACCCTGCCTGCTGCAGAAGAGAATGGGCTAGATTGCATCAGCCCAAGCTGCAAAATCATCAGAGCTCAGTATTTTCATCTTTTCTTTTCTTTTCTTTCTTTCTTTTTTTTGACAGAAAAAAACATGGAGTTGAGTGGGGAGGGATTTGGGGAGGTCTGTGAGGAGTTGGGAGAAAGAAAATAATATGATCAAAATATAAATAAATAAATAAATAAATAAATAAATAAATGCATAATACATAGCCTTCTGTCCACAGTCAACAGCATTTGAGTTCACAAACCAGAAGTTGCTGTATCGATAGTCAGCAGCCTGCCTTGTTCACACACACACACACACACACACACACACACACACACACACACACGGTGGAGGTGGGGGTAGTCGGGGTAGAAAAGTCTTAACTGCAGTGTTTCTCACTGATTCTTAGTGTGCCCTTTGCATATGTCTCTGAACCTACAAGGAAGGTCTAAAGTTGGGAGACCAATAAGGCATTAAATTAAGAAGGAAATATAGATGAGTCAAGACTGCTTAATAAACCTTACATTTGAAGTTCTGAGAAAATAGTGAAAATTAAAAGTATATCTCCCTTGCCTTGGAGGAGGTGGGAATGAGGGGTGGATTGTGGGGGAGGACTGGGGGATGGGAGGAGGGAGGACAGGGGAATCTGTGGTGGGTATGTAAAATCAATAGAAAATATCTTAATAAAATTTTTTTTGTTAAAAAAAAGTATATCTCCTTCACTATAACATATCAGAGAAGAAACAGGAGAATTGTAAGAAAGAACTCTAAAATTTCACACATGCCATTGTGATGATGAGGAGGATGGTATAAAAACGGTTGGGAGAAAATCATAACTGACTGCCCAGCCTGTTAGAGTCTACCCTAATGTCCTAATTTCAATAAACTTGGCTGATCCAAAAGCTTTGACTGGGGTGTAAGGCACAAGGCAACAGGTGGCAGAGGACAGAAAGACCCAACTGCTACAAACTAGAAAGAGAGAAAACAGCAGACTATGCCTTGCATTTCCATTCATTTCAAAATAAGTAAATATTAATGTTTTATACAAATGGGTGTGAATTGCTTGGGGAGCTGGAATATAGAGACAGTTCATATCCATCTCTTCCCAGGACAAGCACAGATCTAGGGTTTTGGTAGGTTGCAATGCATTCAGCTGGACTCCTGTTTTAAAACACAGGTATCATGTTAGATAAATACAAGCAATGTACAGTGTCTCCTTCACTGCAAAGAGTTCCCGTTTCTTCTCTTTGGGAACTGGCAAGAATGTCAGGAAATAAACCTTCTGGCATAATTTCTACACGTTTTTATAGTTAGATTACAGACAACATTGTCAAACTGCTTTGGAGTCAAGAAACTGCAGTCTTCCTATGCTGCTGAAGGAAGAAGGAATGAGAAAACATGTCTCCAGATGCGCTGCAGAGTGTGGGCTTCTGTTTGAGCAAACAGAGTGTATGGTATATCAGTGTTCTCAAAATTCCTTCCCGGGGGAAATTAAGCAGCATCCACCCTCCTCCTAAGGTCTCAACAACAAACAGGTATGATTTCTCCAAAGTTCACTTGGTGAGAGGCAATGAATGAGTTTATTGGGCTTCTTTATATAGCACAGGTAAGGGATTGCTTGGAGGGAGGTATGTGCTCGAGTGTTCCCCAAAAGGCTGTGCCTAGGAAACCTTTCCCCAGCAAGGGTGAGGGCTTTCCTTTGCCATATGGAAAGCTACCCTCCTCTACTCTTCCCAGGCCTTTATAATCTAGCCCCTCCCCAAGGCCAAGTACAATTAGGGCAGGATTGGATGCAGCTGGATACTCAGGTGAAGGTTTGTGACCCTCCCATCCCCTCCATATAGAGGTGTAAACAGTCAACAAGCTCAACTAAAATGATCTTGCAAGCTGTCACAGCTGAATGCCCAAGATGGTTGTTGCTTGCCTCGGAGAACAGTAACTCACAACACTCAGGAAGTGAAAGACATTTGCCCAAAGAGATGTGAGTCCCCCAGGACAGATAGAGTGATACTCTCTCTCTTCCATGGCAGGGCTGGCAGGTCAACATGTGACTCAGTGAAAGACCACACAGGACTTTGACTTGGTGAGGAGGGGCTCAGTGCTGAGCAGCCCAGCTGTGGGATCAGGGCTGAGAGAAAGGCTTCTGAGGCTAGTCAAGCAAAGGTATGTCTACATCCATTCTCATCCCCCAACCCTGCCATTTGTCTTCCTCAATAGCTTGGGCAATAACAGCAATAATAGAGTGAGCAATCCTTTCTAATTTCAACAAGTGACCAAAGAAAAACATAAAGCATCAGCCTTTTTTTTTTTTTTTCTTAAGTAAAGTGAAGGAGCTTAAACAAATGAGCTGTCCCACATGTAACTGACTTGGCTTCAAAACTGTTCTGTGTTCTTCAGGAAATCCTACTTTAAAATTTAAATTTACGGTTCATTTATTTAAAATAGACATTTTATAATTAGGCAAAGATTGCCTTCTTCCTTCATTATTTCATCTCATCTAATTAAAATCCTAACATTAATTTAATTTTTTTAAAAAAACGTAACTACATAAGTGTAATTTCCTTCTGGTGTTTTCTTTTCTGACAGGGTCTCATCCTGCGGCCTCTGGCTGGACAAGAGCTCTTATGTAGCCCCAACTGGCCTTGAACCCCCAGCAGTTTTCACGCCTTAGCCTCACAAGCACTCACACTCAGCTCTTGGTCCTTCTTTTGTGTTCTACACTGGCTTTTCTCTTGATGAGTAGGAAAAAGGAAAAAGAAAAGAAAGGATAAGCTTTAATATTGTCTCTGTTTTGTCCCTCTGTCCCCTGGGGTCACGAACCTGTTCTTGATGTTGTCCTGCTGACTGACTACTCAGAACCACCTTGGAAATGCAGTCTACCTGAGATCACACAAACCTCCACACACGGAGGCGAGGGGGGCGTATATGGCATTCCCTCACTCAACTACATATCTTTTCATGAAAATAATTTCCAGGGGTTGGGAATTTAGCTCAGTGGTAGAGCGTTTGCCTAGCAAGCACAAGGCCCTGGGTTCGGGCCTCAGCTCTGAAAAAAAAAAAATTTCCAAAAGGTTTTCTCAAACATTCAAAAATTTTAAAGTGCTGCAAGGTAGCCAAGGATGACTGTCACTGGCGACACTCCCGGAACTCACTTCCACTGCCTTTTTCCCTCATCTTGTCTCCCCAGGACTGATAACTCAGGCTGCCCAGTCTTCCGGTGTTACCTTTTCTCTGTAACAGGGACGGCTTGGGCTGGTGTGTTTATTAAACAGAACAGCGCTCTGCCAGAGTGGCCGATGCCAGGCACTCCCAGGGCCCTTCTAGCACTTGCAGCATCTCTGTGTCTGGGGATGATGGCAGGGTGCCCGGGGTGCAAGGGCTTTGATAATCTCTACTGTTCTGCCAACCTCCCATGCTTCCTGCTCACTGCTCTTCTGTTTCCCATCTTCCCTGGGTTTGGTTTGGGTGTGGTTTTTGGTTTTTCATTCTTTACCTTACTCCTGGTATCTCTGGCAATCTTCAGCTCACTTTCCTGCATTATCACTTCCCAAACACCGGAGTAAAGACAGTGCCTTGGCTTCTGTGTGAGGCTCAGGATGACTTTGGGTAAGGAAGGTGGCAGTGGTGCCCGCTCCCCTATGACTGTCCTCCCAGGGCCCTGGCATGAGGATCTGGCACTAACAACGAGGAAGTTTGCAGGGAGAGACCTACAGTCAAATAACAGCAGAGAAAATAGTCATTACATAAGGGGCCTATGGACCCAACTACTCAGGCCCACAGTTTCATTATTCTAGAAGATAACCTCTCAATCTGGGAAACAGAAGGATATGGCTACAGAATACGCCAAAATTCATCTGAGCCCAGACCTGGTGGCATACAACCATAATCCCAGCACCTGGACGGCTGAGAGAACAGTCAGAAATTCAAAGCCAGCCCTGACACCATCCCAAAAAGAATCAATAAAAGGAAAGGGAACTTGGTATATAGCAATAGGCTTTATAAACAAAAACAACCCCTAGGGCAGGGGTAGTATCTGGCAGAGCACTCGCCCAGCACCTAGGAGGCCTGGAATTCAAACCTGAGCCCCAGCATGTAAAGGTGGGCAAAGCTCCTTACTCTTGGAGGTCCGGAATTCAAACCTGAGCCCCAACATATAAAGGTGGGCAAAGCTCCTTACTCTTGGCAGCTAAATATTCTAGCTAACTATTTTACTCAGAAAACTAACGCAGCAGATGTAGAGTCTAGTCAGAAACACTTTAACCACCAAGCGCTTTCTAATGGGCAGAGGGATGCCCAGCTGTTAAGAGAGCTTGCTTTTCTCCAGAGGACCAAGATTCAGTTCCCAGCACCTGGGCCTGGCAGCTCATAACTGCCTGTAATGCCAGCTCCACGAGACTTGACACCCTCTTCTGCTCTCTGTGGGTAAATGAACTCATGTAGCACACACAGACACACAGACACAGACACACACTCACACACACACACACACACACACACACACACACACACACATATTTTTAAAGAGTTTTCCAAAACAAAATTTATAATTAAATAAAAGGTATATTTCCAAACTCATGTAAGACATACTCTTAAAATCTCTCACTAGGATCACAGAGGGTTCCAGCAGAGATAGTCACTGAACGTCACAAGACAGGTGACCATCCAAAGTCAGCACTCCGGATGAGAAGAAGCAGAGCTCGGCCTCAGTCTCCTACTGTCCAACCCAGCTCCTACTACCACATGCCACCACCCTGCTCCACCAGGCTTTGCTCCAAGTTCAAATGCTGGAAACCATGACAACAAAGCTTCTCACTGGAGAGCTTCAGAGAAAGAAAAGAAAGCATTAAAATGGCCTAGGGCTGAGTGTAATCCCTCTCAGACCATCCACTGGGAGAGCAGTGGGTATTCGAGCCAGACTCTCCCACCAACTATCCATCTGTGGGGAAGTTAGCTGCTCAACTCACTCCCCAGACTTTCTAGACCCATTTCTTCTCCTGTCCTTCTTGCTCTAATGCCCTCGGCACTATGAGGTAATTCTGACTAGAGTTGTGAAAAATAGCTGCCCCCCCCCAAAAAAAAGTAATTTTAGAAAAAAAAAAGAGCATTTTCTCACTCAAAAAACCCAGCAGTCCTCTTGACTCCTCTTTCTCCCACACGGCGATGGTCAAGAACCTTCCTTCAGGACTATCTAGCACTGAATCACTAATTACATCTGTTGGCCCTTTCTTTTCCAGAAGCCAGAATCCTTCCCACAGCTCAGAGTCCATGCAATGAGAATCCTTCCCACAGCTCAGGGTCCATGCAGTATGAATCCTTCCCACAGCTCAGAGTCCATGCAGTGAGAATCCTTCCCACAGCTCACAGGGTCCATGCAGTGTGAATCCTTCCCACAGCTCAGGGTCCATGCAGTATGAATCCTTCCCACAGCTCACAGGGTCCATGCAGTATGAATCCTTCCCACAGCTCACGGGGTCCATGCAGTGAGAATCCTTCCCACAGCTCACAGGGTCCATGCAGTGAGAATCCTTCCCACAGCTCACAGGGTCCATGCAGTGAGAATCCTTCCCACAGCTCACAGGGTCCATGCAGTGAGAATCCTTCCCACAGCTCACAGGGTCCATGCAGTGAGAATCCTTCCCACAGCTCAGAGTCCATGCAGTGAGAATCCTTCCCACAGCTCACAGGGTCCATGCAGTGAGAATCCTTCCCACAGCTCACAGGGTCCATGCAGTGAGAATCCTTCCCACAGCTCAGAGTCCATGCAGTGTGAATCCTCCCACAGCTCACAGGGTCCATGCAGTGAGAATCCTTCCCACAGCTCACGGGGTCCATGCAGTGAGAATCCTTCCCACAGCTCACAGGGTCCATGCAGTGAGAATCCTTCCCACAGCTCAGAGTCCATGCAGTGTGAATCCTCCCACAGCTCACAGGGTCCATGCAGTGTGGGCATGTCCATGACCTCTCTGACTTCACCTGTTGCCCTCAACTTCCTTCCCTGCTATGCCTCATACACAGCAGCCTGTGGGCTTGTTGATCCTTCAGGTCTCTATTCAAGTGTCGCTTTCTTACAGAAGCCTTCGCCAACCACTGCATATACAGACTACCCCGTCAGCCCCAGAAGTCACTGTCTCTCCCAGCTTCTGTCCACAACACTTATCACTAGCAATCCAATTATTTTTCAATTACCATTGATCCCTGTGCCCACAGAAATGTAAGCCAGTGCTGATGGCCAACCTAGGGGAAGAAAGCACATTGGAGAATTCCAGGAGGCAGGCAGATCTCCTCCACACTGTTTCTGGAACGATTCAAACTTCCCACCCACTTCCAAGCCAAGACACTTATTCCTCATTTCTACATAAATCATTCCACTTCCTCTTAGGTCCAAGACTGAACATCATTTGTCTCTTCCATTTACTGGGCTCTGGATACTTTTTTTTAAAAAAGAGCATTTAAGATAAAATGAGCTTTGAAAAGGGTTTTGGCAATTGGTGAGCAATGGCTGACGTCAGCAGGAAGTGCCTCAGCCATGCTGTGTGCAGGCTTCTGGACGGGACAGGCGAAATCCACATGCCATCTGTGATCCACTGGAGCTGCTTGGTTTGAACTCTCTGGCTGGGTGTGGCATAAGCCTGGCAAGCCACAGGCGTCCAGTGACTAATTACATTTCCATGGCTAGTTGCGTGCAGGACTGTGTCAATTTATCAGAGTGAGCTAACGCAAGTCACCTGATTCCCCTCCAATTTCCCTTTCAGTTCTCCAAGGTCAGTGTGGGACCTCCCTGGTAAGGGCACGCTAATGTCCCATTCTTGCACAATCCCAGCAGTGAGGGCTGGAGGTTCTGTGAAAGAGACTCTCTCTTCACAATTCCATCACAGCCAAGTTTATAAACTTTGGTCTTCATTTCCCCTTTTTGCCCAAATTAAATATCGCCGCCCAGGAGATGGGACTTCTTCAGCCCACCTCCCTCAAGACCCTTTTCTGACTCTCTCTTCTGGATAGAACTCCATTAGGTTCCTAGGGGTTTGTGAAATACATAAAATGCCCATGTCAGAGAAAAGCTGCCTTCCTGTGAGCTCTAGTCACCCAATAATGGAATTGGCTCCAAACTGACTTCTGAGCCCCATAAAGCAGGTCTCAAACCATCCCGCAGACATGCAGGAAGAACACTGGAGCTCTACATCATGGGGACTGGAGTCCCTCATGGAGGAAGGATTCATCTAAAGTATGGGAAGAGGGCTTTCTATTAGTTGAAGCTGCATTTCCTTGGCCCCCACAGAGCCCTCTCTCAGCTCACCGGCAGATGTCCACCAGCTGGTCCAGTTCAGGGCAGCTGCACTCATACATGTCCCGGCAGCTTCTGTGGCTCTGGTTCATCAGCTCTCCCAACAGTTGGATCGCATTGTGGGGTGCTTCTTCACACACCTGCTTAAATTGTAGCACACGTGCAGCCTCGCTGTACACATGCTTTGCCCGCTGGTAGAGCTTGAAGGTGAGCTCTGAGGAAGGAAGGACATGGGGAAAGAGATAAGAAGGAGTTATAGGACTACACAGTACCAAGAAAGGTGTGAGTGAGTGTGTGTGTGTGTGTGTGTGTGTGTGTGTGTGTGTGTGTGTGTGTGTGTGTATGATATGTAGCCCAGGCTAGCTGACTCAAGATTCTCCTCCCTCAGCCTTCCCAGTGCTGGGATTACAGGTCTGAGCCACCACCCCTACCTACCTACCTAATGCACCATCGTAAGGGCTTCTGTTGCTGTCGTCACTGTCAGTACCTGAGATTTTCAGGAGGTCTCGATTCCACTGAGTTTGTCCTTGCTAAAAACCATCTGCTGGTAAATCAGCTTCACTTCTCCCTGAATCCTGATCTAAGATCTTCCTCTTTCACTTAGCACACCCAGACATGCACACACACACACACACACACACACACACACACACACACACACACCGAACCTTGCCATGGCAAGGGAGAGGCAGCAGCATTGAGCATGTCCTACAAGTCAGTCACCTTAAAGGCACAACCTCATGTCATTTGCAGCAGCATGGGGAGATGAGCAGAACCAATGCTGCCTAACTTGGTTGGTGGGTGCTGTGACTTGATGGGTGTGGTGGCTTGGTGGGGTGCGGGTGACCTGCCTATATGGCAGAAGAGCAGGCCAAGGATGCTTCACCCTAACGCCCCGTTCTTCCTGGTATACCCCACCAAAAAAGCCTCCTGAAAATACACATAGCAGCAATTATGTTTACAGAAATGTACCCCAAAACAAGAGTGGAATTGTTGGGAAGATGGGTGTCAGTGGGAAGGGCTGGGAGAGAGAACTGGGGTTGAAAATGGTAAAAAAAAAAAAAAAAAATTCATTATATTCGTGTACATAACTATCAAAGAATTAACAATGGAAAATGTATTCTAGAGAAACAGATAAGCGCAACTACTTATATATGTATATAATTTATCATTTATCATAGCCAAAATATAGACAATCCAAATGACTAATAATGGAGAACTTTTTGAAAAAGTAAATACAAAAAAATATTATGGCTATTAAAACTCAAATTCTTAGACAATTTTGCTAGACAGGAAATTGCTCAACACTGAGGGAAATGACAACACAATAGCCTATGTATAACTGGTACTAACTGCAGCGCGCGCGCACACACACACACACACACACACACACACACTATATATATATATGTATACACACACACTATATATATATGTATACACACACACACGGTAACCTATGGAAAGCACTACATGTCAACAGTGCTCATCTCTGGGACCCATCATGGGTGAATTTATTGTCTTCTTGAAACAGCTCTGTATTCTGCAAAGCCCTCAAGGACCACTAACTGCTGTGACACCCCCCCATCCAAATGCAATGGCTACACCACGTTTGGCTCATGCCCAGGGTAACAAACGAAGCCATGAAACATGCTGAACAGTGTGGTGGAGCTCAGGTGAGACAGGGAAATTTAGGGATACCCTCTGGCCGCTAGAAAAGTGCCAGGGATGGAAGTGAGTCAGTGACAGTGCATCAGCTGTGATAACCCGCTGTGCCCAATTTGCTACCTCTGCTGGGCTCTATTTCCTTGGCTCTGAAACGAGATTGAGATTTATTTCTCAGGGTCCTCAGGCTTTGCTCTCTGATAATGCAGGAGAGACCTCTCTGCGCGACCTTCCAGTGTCCCTGTAGGCTGTTCCCACTGCGGTGAAGGCGCTGAGGGCGTTCTTGATGACTGCTGCTTCTGTGTGTGCCCTGAGTTTCACTCTGCCCCCACAGGCTGACCAGGAGGGATCACACCAGGGGGTTCCTTGCTGTCTTACCAAAGGATGGGAGAGAATTAGCAAGAAATGGAGGGAAGAGGGTAAGCACAAAAGACTTACTCCTTGGCTCTGTTACATCTTTGTCTTGGTCACTCCGTCACCTGCATCAGTCAACACTGACAGGCTAAGCTTCCCCTACAAAGGCTTGCTCACGTCAGTTACAGCCTCAGTCCACAGCCGTTTCCCCAGTGTTTACCATAGCCCATGCTTGATCCCTACAGGACCTCTTCCTTCAGCCAAACTACTCCATCTGTAGTTGCTCTAACAGTCTTTGCTTTTGGATATACTCATTCGTCACACACGGAAATGGCTTCTTGCCCTCTCTCTCTATGTCAAAACTTTACCTCATTCTGAAGGCTCGAATTACATTTTACATCATCCTTGAGGCCATGCGGGGCTCAGCTGGAAATCATTTCTTGACTGAATTTGTACCATGCTTGCAGTCCATGCTCATCTGGGGCTTATGTACTCTGCCTCACAGTTATTTCTCAGAGCTCCGCAAAGGTTTTGCAGAGTCCTGAGACAGACATTTAGTCTCTTAGATCCATGCACCCCAAAAGCAATGCTCACTCCCTATCACCTAACAATGCCTTCCATGGTAGAGCCCAGTGGGTGTTTAAGGTTAATTATGATAAAATTGGGACCTTACTTCTAACTCCAGTTCAAAAATCAAAATACTTCCATCTGGGCTTCCTATTTTGTTTAAGAGGAGGAGGAAGAGAAGGAGCCACCATTGACAGCTTAACTGAGTGTTGAGACAGAGGAAAGAGGCAGCCAGCAGGGTTCCCTTTATTATTAAATCTGTAACTGCTGACACCACGTGTGGGTGAAAACTAAGAAAAATAAAGAGAAGCCACTAGTTGAACGTAGGTGCAGAGACACAAAACATGTTTTGTTCCATTGGTAGTCAGGTCACGTGACACCCACACTGTGCTGTCAGTTTGCTGTGTCCATAGTCAGATCCACTGAAATGGGAGAATTTATTCTAGACAGGGTGGTAAAAACGTCCCAAGCGGGGGAGGGGGGGGGGCTTTACCAACACAAAATACTGGCAGATGCCCTCCTCAAAACTGCACTAATTGAAGAAACAGTCCAGGGGATGTTGGCAGCCATTCAGAAAGGAAAAAGAAGGGCAGTTGATTGACATCTGTCATGGTTTGAAAGAGAAATGTTCCCACATAGGCTGGTGTAACGGAACTCTTAGTCTCCAGTTGTGATGCTATTTGGAGAAGTTATAAAATTCTTAGGAAGTCCATCACTGGGGACAGGCTTTGGGGATTTATTTCCCTGCCCACTCCTGCTCCTCCCCCCACTTCCTGTGCAGATAAAAGGTAATCAGCCATTATGGACTCTCTAGAACTATAAGCCACTTTTGGTCATGGTGTTTTAACCCAGCAACAGAAAAGGTACTAATACAAGTGTTCTGAAGACGGGTCCCAGTTGCCTCCTTTGTACATGCTTGATACAATACAAGCTGCAGAACGCATGCCGTGAAAGGAAAAAAATGGCTTTGCAATTGTATTTTAACATCATTGCTTTTTTTTTTTTTTTTTTTTTTTTTTTTTTTTTTTTTTTGGTTTTTCGAGACAGGGTTTCTCTGTGTAGCTTTGCGCCTTTCCTGGAACTTACTTGGTAGCCCAGGCTGTATACTCAAACTCACAGAGATCCGCCTGGCTCTGCCTCCCGAGTGCTGGGATTAAAGGCGTGCGCCACCACCGCCCGGCTCATCATTGCTTTTTAAAACTTGAGGTTAGAAGCCAAGGATGTAATCCTAGCAGGTTGTATTATGTATTTAGGAGTACACATCCATGTGCACACACACACAACAACAACAACAATAACAACAACAACAATTAACGAAAAAAGAGGCCATGGATTTGAAAGAGAGTAAGGAGAGGTATGTGGGAGGGGTTTGAAGGGGGGAAACTATATAACTATATTAAAATCTCAAAAATTAAAAAATACAAACAAAAATAAAACAAAATTTGAGGTTGAAACAAAATCTTTAAAACATAAACTTTAGAGTTCCATATGTTTCAGTTTTACTTTTGAACAATGTCACCTCCAACAGTAGCAGAATCACTATCCTGTCCTATGAAGCCACACCCTCTGAGAACACAGAGCGATGCTGATTGGGTGACAGATCCCTGTACCGTGCTGTGGTGTGAAAATATTCACTAATGTCAGGAGAATAGTTCTACACAGATAGAATGGTGGAGAATACACCAGCACAGGCTACCCCTTTCTTATTGACACCTTCCTTTTCTGTGTCAACGGCTGTCCTGATGAAGCATTTTAGACGGATTATACATGACATATATTTTCTCCTTACCTACTTAAGTATGACCCTCTATAAAGTAAGGACCCACCATCTTATCAACCTAACACAATAACCCTGGATTCCCTAAGGTCTCGTGTAGCCAGTCCATGGTTCAATCTTCCCAGGTATTTCCATTTAAATTTCAGTTGGTTTACAAACAAATCAAAAGCCCACCATCCCAGAAGCAAGCTGACCCTCCCTCCCTAAGACGAGGTATGCCCTCTGGTAGGTGGGCCTTACACCTGTGTACATATGGGTGGCACTAATTGAAGTTGGTAGGTTATATAAAAGGGGGGCACAAAGTTGGAAGGATAACTTGATTGCGGGGATCTGGGAGGAGTCAGAGAGGGAGAGAGATGAGGGAGGTGGATAAGATCAAAATTCTTGTATGAAATTCTCCATATTTTTAAACTGCACACGGTGTATTCAGTTGCTCTGCCTACGTCTTTTGTAGCCTTTGACATCCTAGAGCGTTAGCATCATATCTGTGCCCAGCACAGGGACATATCCTTAACAAAACATAGTCCACTCTGGAGAGTCTATTTTCATTTTCCTGACCAACAACACACTCTTTTAGCATTGGATATTTTCCTTGAGTGAACACTCTTCACATAAAGCATCCAGAGAAGTTTTCTTTATTCAACTCTCATAACGTCTGCTTCTGCTGTGAGAAGAAATACTACACACTCCCACACCCCACGGTCCTGGCAGCTTCTATATCTCTCCTGTAAAAGTGTTAACAGCAAGCCCTCTCAGTGGGAGTGTCTCTTGCTGGGCACTCTGAAGGTGGGTAGAGACTGCCACAGCTCCTACCCCTCAACAGCGGCACCTCAGACGGCAAGGGTAAGGGG